TTCACGTGGGTACCTATATGGCTATATGGCTATATAGATACGATAATAGTGCAAACATCGTCGGGAATATAAATTTTACGCTCGTGGTAAAAAACCTGACCTGTCTGCGGGGAGGCGCGAGGGGGAAAACCAGCCGACTCCGGTATACGCGTGTATTATATACTGATGCAAGAAACCATATACATACAAACGTTTGTAATACGTTTTAAGTTTTAACCGTTTCACAGACAAAGCGCATCTGTTCTCGACATGCCTCGTATCTGCCCCATTCTTGCATATTATTATTATTATTATGTAGTGTTTATAGTAATACATAGTTTTAAAAGTTACGAAAAAATGCTTAGTCCCGAAGTTTCAGTGTGGATGGGTGGGGGGGGGGGCGTGACGTGATGTATATTTTCCGCAACTATAAGCGCTTCTCCTGCGGTGCAGGTACCAAAAGCGAGCATGGCGCTTACGAGGTATGCACCCGGGCAGACATCACTTTTTTCAGCATGGTACATCACTCGAGTCTCAAAATAACACATTTTAGAAGAACAAAACAGAATAACAAGTATAAAATGTAGGTACGATCGATCATGTTATATTATACATTTCAATAAACACGTCTTTATAAAAATATGTTTTTATTTTTCCACATGAAAAACCTAATATTTCATTATAGGAAGCAGAAATAATAATAAAATCAATGCAATCATTATTTTGTTTAGAGGAATTTATATTATTTTTGCGGAGCACATATTTTTATCCACTGCACGCCAGCATGTACGGTACTATATTATATTTTATTATATAATCATGATGTACAGATTCCTACTACTTCCTAGTAATATCGTATCTGGTATACATACACGATACACCAGTATTATATTCTTACACCAAGTAATCCAGCACGGAGTTACCAGTGACTAATTAAAAATGGCAGTGAATTTACCGTGTCTTAAGCTCCGTTAAAAGTTAACTACACATATTTTATCACTGTAGTGTGAGTGGTTTTGACCAAGTGTAAAAAAAAAATACAGGTGTAAATTAACAATAACAATATACCTAAAATTATAATATAACTATTTTATTTTATGCATAACCTGCAATATAGGTAGTGACAACCCTTAATGAACAAAAAAATATTCATTTTTCGTGAGCCAACAAATCCTTGTGTGAACTCTTTAAAATGTGAAATTTAAAAAAAATTGGCTTCGAGGTGCACATCCTCGGGTATAGGATTACCTACACATGTACCGAATTTCAAATGAGATAGACTTGACTGTGGATCGCTTACAAGATCGCGCACTCACACACACGTACACACACGCACGACACACAAACGTTGCCCACAATTTATATAATATATAGTTGACTAAAAAAGGCTGTATAAATGTATCTACAATAATATTGAATATTCCCAGAGCCATGTTTAGGAATTGTGAGGTCCGGGGATACATTTTTTGAGGGCTCTTTAACTTAAAAGTTATAATTTGAGTTTTTTTGCAATATCGGTTTTTAAATTAAATTTATTTTTTAAGATTATAAATATAAAAAGTCTTTGATAAGTAATTATTTAATGATGATAGGTATGAACAAAACGTTTGACTGTACTATAGTCATATATAAGGGCCCCCTAATTATGTCAGGGCTCAGGCTGCAACCTCCCAAGCCCCTCCCCACCTCATGTAAGGCTATGAATATTCCCGCGAGTGTCGCAAACGTTTCGAAAAAAATGTAATGATAAAATGAAACAAAAACAAACTCGTGCGAATAAACATGTACACGGGTGCAATATACATATTAGTTTTAACTCTGAAGCATATTACATATAGTTTGGCTACAGTAATAAAAGCAACAAAACTATAGAATCATATGGAAATATCACGGTCTAAGTGTGTACATTATAAGGTATGCATAATGGCATATTAATACCATAATAAATAGGTACACGAAAAACATGTCCGATGTCCGATACAATACGTATCGACTATACCTGATAGGTATACATGATATACTCTTTGCAGATATATACCGACAATAATGTACAGGGTGTGTCCAGGTGTCATTATTTATATTATATACATTATGATTATTTTGACAACAAACACTTCCCTTATCTCGAAAAGAATATAATATTATGATAGCTTTTGAAAGTATAATATTTTTTATACATTATTTTAGAGTCTTTACAAAACAAAATAGTGTTTGAAAATTCTAGTTTTTACTATTATAGTGAGTATACCGTCCATGTGCATTTCTGTTCTCAACTCCATCAATCGAAAATTTATAAAAACAATGGCAAGGGGCATATACGACGTAATAATTAACTCTTAATATAAGTAACTCAAAAATTCCGATTCAGAATATAAAATTAAAAATGTAAGTAAACGCTGTCATTATAAGCAATTGAAGTACAAGATTCAAAAAATATAAAACGATAAAAATAAGATAGTAAGATAAACGCATATTTTTTTCAAAAACATAGTATTTTGTAATATTCAATCAAATAGCGAAAATATAATGTCCATATACTCCTTGACGGTTAAAGAAATATGAATTTTAAAAATAATAATTATTGTGGTTGATTAAAATTTAAAACTAGTTTAATGCCCGCATAAAATATTTACATAGAATCGTGGCTATCCAAAAATAATATAAATTATACTATAATTATAATATGGATTTTTTAATAATTTAATTACATGCTATTATACAGCATTTATAGTAATAATTGGTAATCATTTTTCAAAGTCACCCTTCCAAAAACTATATGCGATTTAAATATTCATTTATTCGTATGTTTTACATCCATTATCGATAACTTAATGTGAGCAACAGTCTATAAAAAATCACAAAAATCCCATAAATAAGGCAACTACTTCATACAAGCCGGGGATGTTTCGGGTGTTGAAACACCACACCCTAATAAAATTCCACTCTAAGCGTTTCATATTCGCGTATTAAATTTGTAATTATATCATAGAGTAGTATCATGTACGCTCGGTGTTCACCAAAAATGTCGAAACCTATCGAAAGTGGGGGTGGTAGGTCGTTCAAAAAAAAAACATCTAATCCAAATAATAGTACCGTCATAGAGTATCTTACGTTCAAATATGCACTGCACTACACGTCCGCACTGTGCCGACAAATATTGATATAGTTAATAATATGTTATTGTAACAGTTCGCAGTCGTGGCGCCGCAGTGCCTACACTCGCTAAACGGTACGTAAGACGCATAATCAAAGTCTAATAATAACAAAAATATTAATTATTATAATATACCGTACAGGTGGCGTGTACAGAGGTATGTAAACGTTTCACGGGCGGAATAAACCTTCGAGTTTTACGCTGCCGTACTACCGCTTTGCGATCGTGGCCGCTGGCCGTTTGCCAAAAAAAACATTTGAAACGAAGGTTTTCTCACTCCTCGGGCGGCTAACGATATGGCGGTCAACTATAATATAATATTACCGCGAGATTTAGATACGTTTCATGGTAGAGCGGAACGGTTTGTGTGTGAAGAGGTCAGTGTTTCAGCGTTTGTATATAAAGTATTAAAATGTTATGTTTTTACTGTGTCGTATCAGAGACTCTTACACCATACGGCGACATAATTTCAGATGGATTTTTCAATGGGAAGAAAAAATTGTACTAGGCCCCTAAGAATAAATCCAAGTACCATACGCCCTACTTGTAATTTTGTCAAGGGGTAATTGGAAAATAAATCTCTTTTATTGGTTTTAATTTATTGACGTATAAGTAATAAGTATATTATTATTTATAATTAATAAATCTATTTTTATATTTTTTAATCACAAATAATTAGGTAAATACTAATGTGTATGAAAAAAAATATATTATAGCAATAGATAATTTATATGAAATTGTAAACTATCATAATATTACACCTATTTTCATAATAATATAATTACAAGTTACAATACAGTAGTATATTATCTATATAATGATAAAAACGTATTTAAATACACGACGAAAGAATAAAACAAATCGTTGTTGCCACTACATACGGAGGTTAAGTAAATCTGACTGATATTATAAGTAAGAAAATTATATGACAAACAACCCGTCCGCCATCGGAATAATTTCAAAAATATAAGCCGGTGAGGAAATGCACTCGTCTTCCTTGTCTCCTCCCTCCAGGCTTCGAGTGACGCGTTTCAAGAAAAAATGACTATGAGAATGCATCCTGCACCCTGGGAAATGAAGCGCCTGCTAAACCGTGCGAAACGATTGCAGTTTTGGGGTACGGTAGCGGTTCGTGCATTTTTTATGTCGTGATAGAGATATGCGGTGTAGGTAATATTAACGTGCGGGTTGTGCCCCAATGATGCACCTATACACGCAAAGTTCCGGATTTCCCTTTCGCTTCCGTTTTCCCATACCCGAGTTTAGTCAGATATCGTATGATTATGTATATCATATTATATATGCGTACCTATAAACAGCTCCAAACGTGCTTTGGTATATATATACATCATGTTTTATATATATATATGTGTGCATTGGTATATATATGAGTGTGTATTTCAGACCAAACCAGTTTTACTTATCACACTAGTCTGGTAGTATGACACGACCTTGCGGGCACCTCTGTGTCGGGAAACTATAAAATAATGCGGTTTGCTCGAAACGGCAGCGGCGGCGGCGGCGGCGGCACCGTTCTTCGTCCGGATAGTATAGGACCCACTAGCTGTCCAGACCGCCGCCAAGGCCGGTCAGACTGGTAAATGCGTACACCGTACACGTAAAAAAATATATTAAATATAATAATATAATATATATTAATATATTAATACGAAAACAACAACACACGATACGCGTTTGTCCGCTAAAACCGAGCGTTAGTCGAATTAAAATGTTGGTCATCGCTTCCTGAATGGCTAATGAAGCGCACACGCACGCACGCTGACCACGGGCTGTGCGAGCCAATAATAATAAATATTAATATAATAAAATAAAATATTATTATTAATAATACAACGACGACAACGGCCATAGCGCAGGCGACGTGTTCCGAATAGTAGTAGTTTCGTGATGTGTGTCAAATTGGCATTCTTCGATCGTAATATGCCGTGTTCTCGGCCAGGCACGACGATTTTGATATTATTATTATTTTTACATTCGATGGTATAGTATAGTGACTGGCGGATAACTCGTCTTGTGATAATTTAACGCAGAGTATGTATAATAATATAAGTTTATTTGTTTAAACTCTTAATTTTAATCAAACTTGTTGTATTTAAAATATTATAGTTTGACCGAAATTTAATTTTCCGTCTCGCATACTATTTGCGACACCTCCGACCGCAGGTCATCTATGAACTCGTTCACTCGGATTAAAACTTTTTTGGGTTTGACAAACAACAGTTCCTGTAACACACAAAAATCACGGATATACTTAGACAGGACCGAAAAAACGGTTTCGTGTATTGTAAGTATGCAGTCTGGTTGGTCACAGGATTGAACATCTAGCTTGGATATGCACACGATAGTTATTTACTTGCATAGTAGTTATTCTGAAAAGTGGAGGGTACTTATAACTTAACTCAATATCGAATACAACCAAAACAATATGATTGTGAAGGTATTCCGAAAGCTCTAGTGGTGTTTGGTTTGGGGTAGATTAAAATGCTGCATTCTGGATTCCTCGCTGCAGAGAATGTCTTTTGAAAATGTTACGTGCTTAAATGTAACTTGTAAGGCTGTTGAATCTTAGCAATAAGCAATACTACCATAGCTCACCCCTCTATACCACTCTTACAGCCCTACTACCACTACCATAACTACCATAACCCTCGTCAAGGTATCCTACAATAAACAATATGCGTTCACGTATCACTAACCCTGGCCAATCTGGAGGGAGGATCCACTGGATTTTTCACGTAATCCATAAATTCTACCATTTCTTCGTAGTTCACGGAGCAGCCGTTTTTGGTGTCCTTGAATCTGCAACAGTTTATTGTAAACATCAGTTTATCGTCACGAATATAACAACCCCATGAACATTGTAGACAAAAAACACTTCTCTAGTGTTCATAATCATAACTCTATAGGCATGGTGGACATGCTGTTGATCTGAGAATGCACTCAGCCTATGGTAGGTACCTATGGATTTGATTTCGATTACGAGCGACGAAAATAAAAGGTCATATTACAATTAATTATTATCACTCGAACCATATTGATCTACATTATAAATAATAATATTTTTTAGTTGACAAACATAATTTGATACACAATACAAGAGGCGAATTTGAAATATTGATTATTGGATATTGCAGTAAACAACAACGAAATTTAATATCATGGACGTAATACGACCGATGGAGTGAAATGTCAATTAATTTGTAAGTTGTTATTGTTATACGCATCGTCAAACATATTTACAATTAACATCATCATAATTGGAAATAAATTGGTTTTATTTTTAAGAGTAAAAATTGAGAGCAGTCAACTATTACCTACACACAATAGTGACACAGTCTATCGTCCTGTAATGTATTCATATAATCATTATATATTTTAAAAAAATGAAAATGAACATGAAGTTACTGTGATGATGTGGATACTACGAAAGAATTAATTCGAACAAAATAAACGAATAAACGAAAATAACGTGGATTATGGTAATTGCGTATAATACAAAATAAAGCTTTCCCAGAGGCACATGTAAATGAAGCTGTATGAACGACCATAAAAAAGTTTAATAAAACTATACAATATACATATATAGGTAATAATGGTTTAAACATGGTAAAGTAATATGTGTTGGTAATAAATATATATTTATTGTATATACCAAAACCGGTATTTTGAAAACATTGTTGATGAGCTATTTGATGCACTTATTTCCTGCAATTTTTAATTTGACAAGTTTTATAATAATGGAATAATTCATAAATGATTGGAATTAAACAAATTATATAATATTCTAACAAATCAACTAGTCGGTGTTATCACTTATCACCTTATTGTGATATACTTCTACAGATGACAAAATATGGATTATACTTTTCTTTGCTTACTTATCAACGAGGATATTAGTTATTTCCTCGCTCAACGAGATTCTATTGCTTTTCATCGCCTTGATTGCTTCAGTGCATTCAATGTAACCAACTTCGTCGGATTTCGATTTCCAGGATCTAAAATTATTCTTTAAACCATCAAAGTGTATAAAACAATCTTTTCTCAATTCGCGTTGCACTACACTTCTAAACACATTGTCCGTAAAAGGTTCAAATGGATCTGAGCGTTTGTGCATTAGTGACAGTACTGCTCCAATATGAGGATCTAATTCTCCTTCAAAGGACAAAACTTTTCTAAATTCATCTCTGTCCACCAATTCTCGATCCTGAAAGTATTTCGTTCGAAATTCGTCTAAACTCGGGAATCGACTGTTTATCATTTCACGAGTCTTGCTTCTAACTGTGGCCAAATTACTGTGTGAGAACTGAAAGAATTATACTTTTATTTTAAAATTTGCCCTATTTTTTTATATTTACCTCTTTTGGATTATTGATCATGAACTGCAATGTCTTATCATCGATATCGACAATAATAAACTTGAATTCGTCAATACTGATTTTGACTCCAACCGCTAACTGATGAAAAATGAATAAATCTGCCTGGTCTTGGTTCTCGCTAAACCCACGTTTTGAACGAAACATTCCACCACGCATTCCTTGGAAAAATCATATCAAAATAAATGTATAATATAATACGATGTGCTACAGAAAAATGTTTAATTTTCATATTATAAACTCAATATTTAAGCTAAAAGTCAAAATAACAAAAGGGGAAAATTAGGTAACCACTCAGTTGTACCTACAATAGGTCACGAGCGCAGGGCAAAGGTGGTTTATTGGTCTATATTACTGAGTGTATTTTTTTCATAAAAATCTCTTAAACGTAGATAACCTCTATTGATTAATAATAGTTTTATTTTTCCTGATTATCAAATTATTATTAAAACGATTTTGTAAAATAGGTAGGAGGTACCTACTTCAAAGAACTAAATCATACCTGAATTTGTTTCCCTGTATTCATATATAGCGAATTCCGTATCATCCAAATAGTACTTCAACATGAAATTTCTACCTTGATTAATCGGATCATCGGTTATCATTTTAATGAGAAATCCAAATATTATTCCTGCTCCTCCGTGTTTAATCAAACGTTTCCTCAGTACTTCGTCATAGCTTTTCAGAATTATTTCTACTCGTTTTTGATGCAACATTTCTGCTTCAATTTCTCTCATTGTTTTAGGGGCTTGTATTGGATTGAAGGTTTCTAGAAAGTAACTTATCATAATTAGAAACAAACATTAGATACATTCGGTACTTTCTTGTACAGAAAAAGTATGATTTCGTCAAAATTTGAGTTTAAAATGTCTATAAAAAAATTCTTATATAGTTTCGGATATTTTAATTTTAGAATAAACTACCCATGAGAAACCTTGCCTTATATTTTCAACGTTTTTTAATCAACATTTTTTTCAATACATTTTGAAAATGTAAACATATTTGAATTTCATATGTCTTTAAGAAAAAGAGTCAAAATATTTGAATATTATAGCATGCATTGAAAATGTTGAAAATTTCTAGTAACTACGGTTATTTGTTTTTAAAAATAACCACAAAATTAAAAGATTTAATCGAAAATTATTTTTGAGTAAAAATCTTGTTATTCAATATTATTTTAAAAGCAGTGTTGATTTTTATTTTGATTCTCCAAGAGTTGGTCTAGATTAGCCTTTCTATCAAAAAAGATATTCAAAAATGATAAACAAAGTATTTTTTTACTTAAAATCGTGTATACATAGTACCTACATGTACAAAAAAAATAAAAACACATTATTGTAAAATCAACACATTTTTTGCTCGAATAAAAAATTAAATAGAATCAAATAGCATAGTTTTTAATTTAATGCTGATAATGAAAATAAATAAATATAATTCATTCAATTAATCAAATTTACTCGGAGGTTTCTTTTCTAAATTTAATTTTTATCTGTTAATTATTTCACTCACCTAATCGGTACACAGCTTTATAAAAGTTTTTGGTGAATTCGTCACATGAAACCAGGGTGATAGAACGACCATAAATGTTTAGAACGTGTCCGATAAACAAATCTGTACAATGATAATACGACACTTTTTGCGCAGCCCCAAGCTGAGAATCCATTGTATAGTAAAACGAATTTTTGTTTGTCTCCATAACGTTCAGTATGTCTTGTTTGACATTGTGACCAAGTTGTAAAAGCCACGGGCCTTCCTGAAAATGCAACAAACAAGTTCATACAATGGTATTTAATACTATATTATGTACCGCGCGGCAATGCGTTTGAAACACATTCTAATAATAATCAAAACTTTAAGATTCAATTAAAAGCAAAAACTCATAAGATGTCTCTCCATTTTGTCCTATCGTTCGATGTTCAAGGTCCATTCGAATCAAATTGTAACATTGTTAAACTTACCTATATATAATATACAGAGTGATACACTATACGCATGATCACCCTCATAAATGAAAATTAAATAATGAATTTATTCAAATTCTGATTTTTGAAATTGAAATTGAATTATATTGGATACACCATTTTTTGATTTTGAGCCCAATTCAAAATTTGAACAAGGTTAGTTTTTCTAGTGTTTCAGTTATTAAAAGTTTATACTAAGGATAGTCCTGATAAATAGTTTAATAAAAATATTAAATAGTTGTAATGTTGGACTAAGTATTTATTATACTTGGACCATTTTTATAAATTATGGAAAGATACATTTCTAAAATATTCAAATTACCATAGTTTCCATAATATCTATCAAATCCACTTAATGGATTTATTTAATTTTGTTTTCTAATAGTAAGGTATCCACTTTACCATTAGAAAACAAAGTTAAATAACTCAAAACTACTGGTTCGTATTTTCATTTCGATACGTCAATAATCAAGGAAAATTATCCTTTAAATATTTTACTGTATTAAAAAGGAGGGAAGTTGAATTTTAAATGCTAAATGTAAACTGTGGCTAACATTTTTCTTAATATCGATGTGTGAACTGCTCCAAAAAAAAATAATAATATTATGCAATCTGAGATAGAACCGATAAGATATACATAAACTGCAGCAATTTATTTTTTATACCTATTGCCTACAATATACTGTACGTACATATCGATACGATAATATCAATTATATAAATACCTAAATCGTATAATAATACCTATGTGTTTGTTATTATGTACGTATATTTTTTAATTAATTCTGTTATTTTGCTTACAAATTGGTAAAGTAAATCTAAATGTATTCTTAAGTTCTAACTCAACATACTAAATATTGTTTCCTTTACTTGTGATGATACTACTATTAGTACTTACTAAGTGTAGTTAGATGTCAGTAGAAGTAATTTAAGGTGTAGATGTTTAATATTTAATTCAATATGGAATTTACAACAATGTTTACTAAATAACCAGAGTAGCAAACAATTAATAGCGTTAAACAATTTTAAGTTTAAATATAAATGAAAATAAGTGGTTATAAAGCCAGCGTATAAAGCGATTTCATTTTTCATTTTTCATTTTTACATTTATATACCTAATTAAGCTAAACGATAAACTTTTATATGAAATCCTATCGGTGTGTATAATTTATAGTAGATATATAAAATAAATTGCCGCAGTCTGGGTAATATATATATGTCGCAGTTTACATACCGACTTTTAGAAAAAGGTTTATTTTGCCTCAGTTTATCATCTCCCATACGAAAAAATGAAGTTTATTTATTTCCACAAGTCACTCCTTAAATAGTTTAAACAATCTTAAGAATTTGTCAAAATAGAGTGAAAGGACATTTAAAAATTCCAAAAATCAGATTTTGAATAATTGCATTACTGGATAAGTAAGATGGGGTAAGCAAGATGGTGAACCATCGTGTATACGTGTATAAAGTCGTATAGTTATTATAATCTATACTTACTTTCGGTAACCGTTGCCTTTTCACGATCAACTTATGACGTTTTCCAGTAACTCGGTTGTCGTCAATAATTTCTTCAACCAACTCCATCGTGTCGTCGACGAGGTAATAGAGAACTTCGTAGAAATGCAATTCGCCCTCCATTTCGTCACGGTCGTCCCAATAGCCCCGAAATCGTAAGATCAGAGAGTCGAAGCCATTCGGAGGTGGGTTCCTAGCTGTATTCGCTTTATTTTTTAAGGTGATATCCAGAGCAGTCTGCCAAAACCCGAAACATTAAAACGCTGTTGGCGACACCAAAATGTGGTCGCGATACGAATATTATATTATTATTATCATAGTTATTCGGAATTCTCAAACAACAATAATAATAATAATATACTGATCGCATGCAAAATAGTACAGTACATCACTTTTTTCCTGTACTCAAAATATGGATCTTCTGGAATCGGTTCGTTGTCTTTCGCAGGAACTCCCATCGTGTGCAGGAAATCTCTAGTATATGGGTCGACACCAGTGATTCTTAACTCTTTTCCGTAAAAGATGACCGTAGTGCCCACAATTAAATCGGGTAGCCTGTAATAGGGGCCCGTTTCTTGATCACAGCCAGGTAACGGTATTTTTTGTTTTTTTATGAAACAACCTATGACCGATTTAATTAATATAATAAAATACAAACATAATTTTCAAATTTAATATACATTTATTTGAAACTTGTTATACGTGTTTTATAATAAGAAAGGTTATTACCCTTCAACATTTCATTTCGATCGCTATGGGTTGTATCATAACTATTCGATGGTTTTAATCATTTAAATGCTCTATGGGTATAATTTTCGAAGAATATTATTAATGTTTCAAATTTTCAATGTTAAAAAAAATATTATTATCATTATTTTCCGTTTTTTCTACGTATTACTATAGGTATTAATTGTATGATTTTTTAAATTAGAATTGTTTTTTTTTTTTTAATTTTAAACCCGTTATGTATTTTTAACTATAAGTAGGTACAATTGTATGAGAACCTTGTGGACAGCCGCTGTTCGGTTTCGTCGGCTCGTTTACTTGAATCGTTTCGTCCACCAAAAAATAAATGATATTGAGCCGTTTTAGCATGTAATCTATTCCTGCGGAGCTTCCACGACCCGACTTTTTGTAAAAAGCGTAAAATGTGAGAACCTATATAAACAACATAATAATATTATAGACGTTCGACCCGTATCAATTATGTATGCAATTTATTTTCCTCTTAGAATCGCGTAGAATTGATTGTATTGTACACCGCTATTCTAGTTCAGCACACAAACCGTATAGCCGTGTCGTTTAAGACCGGACCGAAACCAATAAGTAAAACGATACCCCAAATTATACGGCAGACGGACGGACGTTTACTTTGTTTGTAATGAAATCGAATTTCGTACAACAGATGAAAAAAAAATAAAGAAAACTACTGAAATGAACCGTTCGCACACCGTATTGACCGGAGAACATTTCTCGTGCACACGCACTGCAGCCCTCGCTAACCTAATGCTTGTATATTATAGCTTATACCTGCCAAAATTTCTGCGAGGCAGCCGATAATAATCGAAATTCGAGAGCGTTCTGCAGAAATAATCTCATACGCGTTTATTATTCTACACAAGTTATAACAGATATATCTAGTCCATCAATCTGCTGTCCACGATTGGTATCATTTTGTAATATATATAAACAACATATTATTGTGTACCAGCGAAATATTAAATTACAGCGTTAAATATACGTATGGCCGACAGGTACCTAACTCGCGTATTGGGTATTTTTCTTTCCCCTGATGTGTACCAATATTGTGTGACGTTATACTGTTTTCGGTTGCGTCCAAAAACTTATGAATTCTACTCCAATACAGACCGATACATAAAAACTGTACCCTTTATCGGCTTATTAGTCATAATATTGTATAGCAAAATACAGATCAGAATTTTTAATCTACGGACCAGACGCGTACGTCGAAAACGTTTACCGAGTTTACTATACCTCTTTTGTGTTAATTTGTGTTATTTTTACAACCCAAAATAAAAAAAATGACTTATGTTTGCAATTATAATGAAATTTTTATTGTAACACGTAAAAAAAAATATAGAATTCGTATGTAATTATTATGACCAGTACCTACTTACATGAAGACAATTTTTTTTAAATATTTTTTAATTAAAATAAATCACTATAGATAAGTAATAAATAATATATATTATTTTACACTAAAAAATATATAAAATGTTTAGGTTATCATAACATGTTCAGTTTTAGGATATAACAACCTTCAAAAAGTGTGCGGTAACAACCTAGGTACTACAAGTGTGTGTGGTTTTATCCTGTATTTTGGATCAAATGTATGGTTTAGGAATTCAGCGCTCTGTTCGGCCAATCAATATAATATTATACCTATATTCAATACACAGTGCGTGCTTGCCAAGTGTTGAACGAGTACTATATTATTTATTATCACATCCGTCTGTTTGTCTATGGATAGATGTTTTGTTTACCTCTTTATCGTCAAACGCCAACCAATTGCGCATGTTGATAACGTTCTGTCCTTTGGCCAACATCACCATGGCCACGTCTGCGTCACAAAACAAGGGTTCATTTTTTTTTTCTATCGACTTGATGAACCTCACGTTGTCGATGCATTCTAAATCACTCCCTATTGGATATTTATCTTTGATTTCCTGTAAAAATGCAAACGTCGTGTTTCATCGAATATTATATTTTTTTTTTATTTATATTTAACAGTAATTTGAATACGATATTCTCGTATTTAGGAGACGAAAGTCGTTTGAAAAGGCGAGCATTGTTCGTTATGATATTATTATTGTTTTGCAAGGCTTATTCTCCTAAAAACCTATAAACTAGGAAAAATCAAATTAATAAAAGACCAAAGTAATTGTATAATTAGGGGTATACGATATACGCAATGATTGATTGGAAATATAATTTGTAATTTGAAAATAATTTGTGAACAATATTTCTAGATGTACCTAACTACAAGAAAAACTTGGAGAATTCGTAAAATTTGTAAGTATCACAATATTATGTTACACGTTATTTATAACCTATCTATATAGTAGGCACAATATGTGTGACTGGAAGGTGAGAACTACTGGAACTTTTTCATGCGATAATCAAGTCGTGCATGAAAGTATAATAATATAACGCGCTACACCTGCAACTGTAAAAAATCACAATCAATGACTGTAAAACACTAAAATACAACCAACTACATTACATAAAAAAAAAATAGATTCTCTATTCGCGTGTTCGACACGTTTACTCATTCCTGCGAATGCCATCGTGTATTATTAAACTTGTATATAAAATACGTAATATAATAAATATAACTATACCTAACTCGCATAAAAGGACCTACCTATACAGTAATGACATCGGTAAAACGGCAAAAAATAAAAACTTGTAATAACTAAATAAATCGAAATTAGAAAAAAATACAACTAAAAAAGATTGTGACTGGTAATTTAATTTTTTTTTAAATAAAATAAAATATTAAAATAGGTAGGAAAGTATGGGTACCGCTCTGATGTACAGTATGTCATTGTAATGGATGTTTTATATTTGAATTCAATGTTAAATCATTGCATACGAATAACGATTGTGTTTAATAAGGAAAAAAAAATAAATGAAAACAGAAATATTGCATGACTATGAATACCGAACTTTTTCGATGAACTAGTTTTTTTTTTTGATAAAGGTTCTATTAAAATAACTTATGTTAAATAAGAAAACTTTTATGAATATTTCCAACTGAAAAATAATTTACAACATTTGAAAAATGTCTGATACCATTATGAATAGCACAAAAAAAGTCAAATATTTTTTAATTTTTATCATATATGCAAAATGCGAATATAAAATAAAATCGATTTTTAAAAAATTGGTTTCACTTAAAACGTCCAGGTTTTTGAGAGGCTTTTAAAACTACTGTGAATTTTTAATTTTTCCTTCCCAACTAGATTCACTTTCAAATCAGAAAAGATGCTGATGTCAAAAAGCAGAGAATTTTCACTTCACCAAATGTCGATGACGGACCGAAAAAAAACACACATCATTGTAAATACATACAATTCACTCATCGCTTCGCTCGGAATCTTATATTTTTACTATTAAAATTCACAACACAAAGCAATTATGTTCGTAGCTTATAGACCCAACTAACTACCGGACCAATATTTACGAACGTTACAGAAATTTTTATTAGAAATTATAGAGACAACAAAAAAACTTAGAGATTGTTAGAACCGCAGTGGTTCAACCACATTCAAAGATATACCGATTTCTACAACCCATACCGATATAGAATTAATTCTCAGGACGAAGTGCAACTATGCAGACTTGTCCGTGAACCGAGATACACCGACCTAGTGTCGAATTTTTATTCGTTCATTTTTTCAGAGGAGGAAATCGGTTTGTATACAGCTATGCTGATGCTATAAAATATTATTGACTACATTTATGCATCTTTTACTTAGTATCTTCTACCTATTATAAGTAATTAACTATTTACTTATGTTGGCAAATACTAGTAATTGAACAACGGCGGCGCAGCGATATAATGTATCGAAAATATTGATTGCAATATTCGTTATTATTATATACAGTCTTCGGACCGGAAGCGGAAACGCCGAAACGGTGACAAAGACTTTTTTGCACAGACGAAATTCACGTTTGGCTATAAGTCATAACGCAATAAACATGATATTATATTCTATATATAGGCACACAAATATATATATAGTACGTGGCGTATTACACTGTTATGGTCTGTGACCTTCGGTCGTTACTCTTTACGCTACCCGCAGAGTTTTTCGTAGGATATATTATTATTATTATTATTATTATTATATTATATAGCGAACCGAAATAATGACTATGGCAAACAACGGAGCCGTGAAAATTTGCGTTATGTACCGCCGAGTACAAGATATATACATACCATTGTAAGTAGAGGTATATAATGTAATGTACAGCTGCTGTAGGTACGTCTATATGCACACACACACACACACACACGCACACACACACACGCGCGCGGTCGAAGTATATACCTATATAGAGTGGATCAAACGTATATATTTACGTGCATTTACGTACATTATTTACAGGTAACTACTGTTTCTGCTTTGCTCGTCGGAAAATTGTTTTCCTTAGATTTTTTGATATTTTTTCACGTCAGTTCAGAAAATTGATTTGTTCGATGTTTAATCCGCAGACGCGTTGTACAGACCAGTCTATATAATACGATATATCGTATACTATTAGTTACCCATTTTGTAAATACGTGCTGCAGTGGTCCGACGATATATTACATTATTTACTACCTGTACTAGCATATCATGCCGGTGCGGGATGATGGACGGTTTTCGACATGGGAAACATATATGTAATGATAATATATACGCGGTGTAGTCTCACCCGCTTTGAATGGTACGGCCGAGACAATGATAATAATATGTCAAATCATAATTCGATTGTAAAAAAAAGTGTCAAACATTCTTTAAAAAATGTATACGAATACATCGCATTTGAACACCGTTAAGAATTGAAAAACATTTTTCGGAGTCCTTCAAAAAATAAAATTAAAATAAAACCTTTCGCACTGTCAGTTGATGTACCTATATATATATACATATATATATATATATATAAATATATATATATATATATACACCTTGTGGGTAGGTACAGGGAGATTTTTTTTCGTTATCCAGGCGATATCTCGGTAGATAAAAGACATTTTAGATTCTGAGAGGAGGAAACAACAATGATGTGTGTTTTTATTTTTTATTTTTTGTCTGAAGATACCTTTTCTACCAGAAACAATGCTCTGATCATCAAATTTTATGGCGGTTTCTAGTGACAAATTGGATCTAGTTGTTACTTTTAGCCTTGGAGATGTCGGAGTTGTAAATTCTCAGTAGGTAATTAAAATCCACAATATTTTTTATGAGCCTTTGAAGATATAATTTTGACAAATTTATAAAGTAAATATATACTTTTATGATAATAATTAAATATTATTAATATAATAAATGAAATGTTTACGGAAAAAATAAAATCAACCTACCGTAATACTAATAGTAAAATAAATCAATTCAATAATAAAATCAAAATACATATTATCATGAAATATACTTATAGAAATATAAGATGACTGACTGAATCAATTCAGTCTTCGCTCAAAATCATTTTTGGTTTGGAATTATTTAACATTGAATTCAATTAACACATACATTATAGTGACTATTACACAATGACAAGAAATACTCGACACTCTACACCTAGGTAGTAGTACAGCACAGCGATTACCCTCTTTCCCCTTTTTTAATTTTTTATTTGGTTTTTAAAATGTTAAGAATAATTGTTGAAATATTATTTATTTCCCAAGATATTGAATGACTCTCGATGAAGGGATCAGTTTAAAAGTCAATAGGTACCTATTATATGATTTGATTTACATTACAGAATGTTTATGACACTAAATGTATAGGTAAGTACCAACTATTGATACTTTAATACATATACCTACCGTAGGATTTAAAATCAAAATAGGTCTATATTCGAACTTACTTCGACTTATATTTAGTCACAACAGTTATAACATATTATATATATACATAATATAATATTTTTTTTTATTTACTTTATCTTCCGCGGTATTATTATGCTAGCATAATATATTATATTGTATACAATATAGTTATATATTTATTGTATGAAGATTGTATTATGTATATTATAAACGATCATGACCCCGGACACGCCGATGTCAATGGAATAATGCGACACTTTTGGTGTAGGTACTTATGCGGTGGAGGCGTCGTCCGAGTAAAACATTAATTATCGGTATTTATTTTCCATACAATATACCTACAAGACATATTAGACAATTGTCAGCGCATAAAGTCTCTATATCAATGCATTAAAGAAGTTATTTTTTAACGGATATTGGAGCTAACACAGGTGTCGGCCTTGTACGGCAGTGGTACTCAGACTTTTTCGAAACCCTGCTCCCTATATTTGAACTAATTTTTTCCCACGGCGCCATTCCCCAAGTCAAAGCGTGGCTAATCATAAGGTTGTCGACGCCGCCTTTTAGTTCGCCAATATTTATTTTAGACCAGATAATTTAGACCACAGACTAACCCTGTAAGTAAAGACACCGCGGTTTAATCCTCGGCACAGACTATGAGATTCATTCCTGTACGCGGTCGCTAAAAAAACTAGTTGAAATCTGCGGTGAGGTAAACAATTTTTTAATATCCTATTATATATCGCATTTGTATAGAGGTAGGAACGATTCCGCCAAGTGACTATACGTCTTCAGCGTTCCGAGAAAATTCGCGTAGACAATAAAATAAACATGTGTGTATAATATGAATAAGAACTCACCGTGTACGACTGGTAGATACCAGGTATTTTTGGCAACAGCGTACCACCGCACTGGTCCATTTTGGCACCGGAACCTAATAACAATAACGATAAAATATATGTCTAATATATTTTTTATATTGTATAAAATATTTCCTAGATGACGAAAATGTGCCGTTGGAATATTGACCGACCGTATCCCGGGAAACCGACCTGTTGTTTCTAATGTCCACTACGATAATAATATTATATATAATATGACGTGTATAGGAATAATACATAATAATAATAATGAAATAAAATAATTAATTATTTACTCGAGACTGGAACATTATTTCAATCTTTACTGTTCGGTATACATATTGTACTTGCCATCTGTGGTGAACCGTAACCGATGACAGGAGCAAAACAATAATTTCGATTTTTCATCATCACGTGCTTCACGAAATAATAATTTTCTGCACGCAACACTGTACGACATAATATTATAGATTTAAATGTGAGCGTAGGTTATAATATTGTGGTGACAACAATTTTCATAAATACCATAATATGTCATCATGTTTTCCCACGACTCGAGATGCATAATATGGCGACTTCCGATCTGCAGGATTATATTTTGATTAATGCACGCATTCCATCATGTATTCTTAGTTCAGTGGATGATACCAAGATTTTAGAGTTTTCACAACACTATATACCTATGTATCATATTAAATCATCATATAAATTTTTTCTGAACGTCACAAACGTAATTTTTGTCTTTAACTCTCCTGCCTATATCTATCAACTAGGTACCTATACATAGTTCTAATAGGCACCCATTAGCGATATATGTACATAGACTACCAATATGGTTTATATAATATTATGACATCGCCATCGTTCGCGTCCAAACTATTTTTAATTAATTTTCAATTGCTGAACAATCGGGTCTTAATATTGTATATAGAAACAAAAAAATAATAATATAGTACTGTAGGACGGAAAACAATCTCAAAGTTTATCGAACCGTACACAATTTTACCATTAAAAATGATGTCACCACATAATAATTTATAGGTGAGTGAGCTATAAAGACTCGTTTGGTATAGATAATAGTATTATATGTATACAACTATGATAAGTACATAAAATTATTACATTTTTATGATATTCGTCTGCTTGATAATGATCATTGATTAAAAGAATATATAATTTTACTTACTTTCATGAGCAGCTGCCAGCTTATACATACATATTATATATAAGTACTTTTTTACAAACATTTTCGATTGTTGATTATGGGTTGTGACTACGCGTAGGTTCCAAGACAATAAAATTGTAAACCAAAAATGTGAAGAAACACATTTAATTATTATATTGTAATACATAATATACATGTATATTGTTGCTAATATTTATCAAGTCTAACCATGTGCACATGAATCATGAATTTGAAAAATATTTTATCTACACAGAGGTATACCAATACCTATATATTATAATATTGAAATAATTTATGTTCATTATCTCCGTAGCATCTATTTTCGTTTGCAGTATAAAAATTCTCATAGTATAAACTATAAAATATATAATATAGGTATAGATACAATCGTATGGTACCGATGCAATTTCTGAAAGTGAACTGCATGTCTGTATGGGTGATAAATATGCCAAATATACCTTTAATTCTAAATGTATCAAAAACATGCGTTATAAATAGGTTGTTGGTATATTGCAAAACATATTTTTTTTTTTTATTAAATATTTTAATTTTATCAAATATCTGTAAGATCTACATTGTAGACATTGAAACATTGAACTACATTTGTTTTATATTTTTAACATTTACACATTTAAAGGTTTTTAGTTTTTAGTATTTAATATAAATTTAATTGTGTTTGTATTTTGTTTTTAGCATTCGATATAATTGTTGAAATTTCGTGTTTCCTTTGTCATAAACTAATAATGTTTTAATTGAAATGATATTAATTAAAACGGGTGGCGCCAGAGTTGGGTACAACAGTTTATATAGGTTATTGGTACAAATACAACCATATACAATTATAGGGTCTAGTTCGTGACTATTTACAATTTACATACCTGAACTGTATGACACACACATAAGACATAACTGTAGGAATTCTTAGGTCTTCGGTGACCAGATGTATCGTCGTACGAAATTTATAATAGTATGTATACAATACTTAAAATATGTTTAAGCGCACTAATAAAAAATTGTCAAAAATCTTAATCTTATAGTCCTATGGTTGTATGCTACAGGGTAGTGTGTGGGTGAGTCGTAATACGACATTGTATACTTTGTATGCATAATACAACGTGTCAACATAAAAAACTGTTTCTTAATAATATAAATCACGGATAGTAACAACGTCTATAAACTGCACACAGTCGTGTAGCAGGGGGTTTTTAAAACTTTGAAAATCCCCTGAAAATATTGAGTTTTATTTATGGTTATTGGACATCACAAATTATAAACAAACTTATAAGGTACCCTGGGTACTGGTAGAAACGTGAAATTTTGCACGTAGGTAGGTGTTTTGGTGCACAGATGAATGGACAAATCTGAAAATGACTGATATCAAAATATATAGACTCAATAATTAATATTATTATAGAAAAAAATGTATTGTAAGAATCGTTAATTTTTTTTTTTTTTTGATGAAGTGTGGTGTCATAGATATTATGTTTCTTAAAAAAAAAAATAGTTATAATTTTTAAAAAGTACTAACACACCCCGAAACATTATTGTCTACGCGTCGCTGGATTAATATGCGTTATTGAAGTTACTTTTAATATAATATAATAATCTGAATAATATATACACCTTCGACGTAAGCACGCCGTATTTTTTATACTATATGTATAGGCATTTATAAGCGTGCAGTGTGTGTGTATATTATGCACTAATTTCGAGCACTATATATACTTACGGTGGAATTAGTTAGGTACCTATATATAGTACAAGAGCATGTACAAAAAGGATAATGACCTATACGAAATGTTTTAATTGTCCACAATTTCGGTGAACACGCCTATTATACAAATGCACACGCGTAACGTAGGTATACAGAGATTATTTAAAACGTCGAAACGCTCGCAAATTAAAAGCAGCCATCCGCGGTTCGGTTTAATGATCTCCAAAAAAAAAAAAAAATATAAAAATTAAGAAAATAAAACACCGGCCACCGCCCTCTATCACGGCCCGTTATTAGACATTAAAATGCACGAGTAGGTTATGAGCGCGGTAAGTAAATAATGTGAAATATCATTATTATGATTCACTGTAGATCGCCGTATGCGATAACAATATAAATATATATATACACCGACGTCTATAATACATTATATTATTATGAAGTACACGTTATACACGTGCGACCGAGCTGCTTCAGAGGAAGCCGGATAGTGGATCCGATTAAGGCGACAGAGTACAATAATTATGATTATATTAAATAGACACCGTGTACATAAATATAACTATAATATTATTATTATGCCGGGCAACCGAGTTTTCTGTTTTTTTTTCTTGTGGAACAAGTTAAGTTAAAAATTTAAAATCTTGTTTACACATAAAGTATCTACATTTTCCTGAAAAACTCGGTTACACAAAAATATTTTCGAATTTTCCTCGTTCAAAATATGTGCTCCTATAAATTATTACTGCAAATAGTCAAAACAAATGAACTGATGTTTTTTTTTTTTTATCAGGATAAATACAATGATTTTAAATATGGGTGCAAATAATCAAATAAATATTCCTCGATTGGTATAACTAGTAGGTAATAATTTAAGCTGACGCAAACGTGCAGTAGTTCTCTAAGCTACTGCAGCTGTATAGTGAGGATGTATTTTTCGAAAAAAATATTTAGTAATCATAAAAATAATAAAGAGTTCCACAGCCACTATAATAAGCTATAAAAATATGTATGGCTCAGTTGGTAATTAAAAAACAAACTTAACTGACTTAAGTTAATGTTTTTCTCTGTTTTATAAGTGTTAAGTATAACTTAAGACTTTTAGAGTTAAACATATTGTTTGTTAACTAACTTATAGCTTAGAGTTCTTAACGCCCACTTCACTTATTCAAGTTAATTGTTTTCATTAAGTATATTATGATAAAATATGTTATAGTCGTGTGAGAGCGAGCTACTGCTGAGATATCCGAATAGTGGATCTGATTAAGACGATTATTATAATTATATTTAAGGAGCTCTATAAATAAACACATTATAATTTAAATTACTTCATATAATACATTCACAGTCCATGCCACCGAGTTTTCTCGTTTTTTTTTTCATTTAATATGTAGAACAAGCGTCAAGTAAACTGCGACAACGCCGATAATGGACCACTCTGTACGGTAAACCGTAAATGCACCACTGCAGATTATAGTAATAATAACAATAATAATAATGATGATAATTATAATCGTCAAAAGAGTGGATTATTAGTTTTTTTACTTCAACAATTTTTTTAGACATTTTTTAATTCTGCAGGCATGTTGTCAAAACGATTGCCCCTTTTTATTCTATATAAATAGGTATACTCGTTATGACGTTCTTTGTGTAGGTAATCGTAAATTGTAATGTATTGTACAGTATACACACGACAATACGATGTCGATTATCAACTCGTGTGGAGGAGTTCAGAGATTTTCGATAAGCATTCCTACAGAGTATACCAACGTATATGCATCATATTTCACATCCGAACTAATTATATGTTTTTGAAGTTATGGGGCAAACTTATTTGAAGAATATAACTTGTTACAAACACCCACAAAGTTCAATGTAATGGTATAATCTTAAAAAAATGTGTATTAACGCAATAACTGTATTGACGGAGATTTAACACAGCAGACGGTAGTTTTCGAATTAGTCGGTGCACATAAAGTGTTTGATAAAATTGAAAATAACAAATGCGTGAAGAATCAATATAAGTACCTAAACCTTTATAAGCGCTGGTTTAACTCTGCGATGTTGACTATTATTGTTAGGTAAATTCAAACATAGTATCTATGCCAACATAATATATAAGTTCGTTTTTTACTGTAAATTTGTAAATCAAAAACACACAATTGCCTACATGTATAAGTGGCCTATTGTGTGCCTAACAGTATACTGCTTTATAATACGCATCAATTGAGAGTTGAGATGCAATATTTTTCCTGACGTGCGTTCAATTTTCTTTCAGCAGAAGGCATCTGTATATTTGTTGGAAATGTAATACTCAAATTCCTAAACAAAAGTATATAATATACCTATTTGACACTCGATATTTAATAATATGTTTATTACAAGTCAATGTGCATCGCTTTGGTGAACATTGCAATACTACATGATCATCTTATTTTATAATTCAAAAACCTAACAGTTTATTTTGGTACTTATAGATGTAACAGTAGTACGTACCTATTTTTCAGCCATGCATTAAAGTTTTAGATTCTCAGCTGAGTGACGAATGTATAGGTACTAGTTTTACAATGGTGAGTATTTTTTTTGTGTGTCACCTTCAGTATGTTCTAAACTTTAAAATATTGGTCTTGTTATAATAGTCTCACTAGCGAATAAAAAATTGTCTCGTATTATCAATGAGTTTTAAAGAATCAATATAAACTCGTAATGGCTTATTATAGTAATGGCTTATTGTTCAAACATATTTTTTTTTTCAACAGTCTAGACTCGTAATTGCACTTTTTGACAATTATTTCGGCCTGCTTCGTCTATTATCTTAATGTATCTATAATGGCGTTTGTTGGCAACAATCAATTAACTATAAACTCTAAACTATCGTTTCGTTATATGCGTATAAAGTGCAATCCTACGCATATCATAAGCGACCAATATTTACCGTGGAGCGTTGATTATAGATGACGTCGCGTTTACCGTTTACTGTCGTTTTGATTATAAGCAGTGTGATATAATACGTTTTAAATCGGAGTAAAAAAAAAATGAGTCTCACAATCCTCGGTGTATTTATGCAGATGTTGATGATAATAATAATAATAAAGTGATATGTGTGGGTCGTTCGGAGATTGCAGCAGTGAACGTTCGATTTTACAGTTTAGAATGGTGCACGTCGGCGGCGGACATAATATTTATACGTATATATACCTACATAAGACAACAAATGGCGAAAAGTAAAACTTATCGTCCGTCGTGTTTTGACATTGACTCTGTGGCGGCTCTCCGGTTTATCCTCGGAGAGAGAGAGAGAGAGAGAGAGAGAGAGAGAGAGAGAGAGAAAGAGAGAGATAGAAACAGAAAATGAAAAACTATATAGAAATAACCTATCTAAAACTACAGGCATATGGTATAACATATATGTATATCGGTACCTACATATATATGCGGATAAATGAATACAAAACCGGTCGACTGATTCGGTCTAGGAGAGTGTACAATAATAATAATGATAATATCGTACGTTGTGTGTATACGCACAATAAATAATACAATATAACATAATAATACAAAAATATACTATACTATACAGGATGAATCAAAAGTCTTTATACGATTTAAAAAGTTCATATTTATTTTAAACATGTAGGTACAGTTGGGTTGGGGTGAATTTAAAAATATTCAAGTTGTAACATAGAGTGATATAACTTTGAACTTATACAATAAAAAACTTAAGCACTAAATTAATGTCTCTGGCCGTCCAAACATACTCAGTATTCAAAATTCGGTATTTGTTTGATTTTCCCACCTCGACACCACAATTATTATTGACAGCAATTCGCTTATAAATTACGAACGTTCGAAAGCAACGAAATCAGCAACAAAAATCAAAAAAAAAATGGACAAAAATAGATTTATACATCTTATTTTGACGATGGTACCTGTACCTGTATGCATAGGTCGAGGACCATTCAGAGTTATTTGGTGACCTATGGCAAAATAATGCAAGTGGTCCCTTTTTGGCTTTAGTCACTTGTTGAGGCACGGGGCCCATGGTTATTTGGTCCGTGACCCCCTCGAAATTCGTCGTTTACCCGTGTGACTTATGGGTTATTGCTGCGAGCCATGTCAAATTCGTAATGGTTCGAAGACATTCGAATCACCCTGTACATAATATATAAGTACAATTATTATATCGGCAACGGTAGACAAGATGGACTATAGCGGGTCGTCGCCGTACACGTCGAATACGGTTGCGGTGGCGGTGGGTGGGTGGGTGAGGGGCCGGTCGTCGACGGCGGAGCGGTCATCGGTGAGTCGGTGGGCGGGGATGGGCGAGCGGAGCGTAGTGCGGTAAATACGGTCAAAGGGAGGGTATAACAGGACGGCAACGATAATATATTATTATATACCTGTTGCGTTCGCGTGTGTGCGTGTGCGCGTGTGTACGAAAATCGTGTTCTTCCGTCGAACGGGTTTAAAGATATGGTGCGTACCCCGCGCATGCGCGCCACCGGTTACATCAGACTGGTTTCCCCGCCGCGTTATTATTACTATTACCATAGTATTTTTCGTTTTCCTCTATTCTATACAGTACTATTATTATTATTATTATTATTATTATTATTATTATTCTGTTTCTTCTTTTACCACCACCACCGCCGCCGCCGCCGCCGCCGCCACAACCGCAGAAACCGTGATCTTGGCAGTGGTCCGGACACGGTCTTCTATAATATGTACCAGAGTTCAGTACATCCACTCCCCCGCTCGCCCACATCCACAACGGTCACATACACGTCCGACGCGCCGACAGCCCCCCACCCGTGGACCATCGCCACGCCTACACTGGTACAGCCGCCGCCACCGCCCGTGAAGTGGAGGGTCTCCGCTAGCCGCCGGCAGCGGGTTCGCTGGTTCCCAAGCCAGTTCTTGCTTCTCCGCCGTCGCGTCCGTCAGACGACACGTCGATCGCCGCTCCGATTTCACCGACGTACCGTTTGGTCGTCCGTTGCATTATTATTATTATTATTATTATTATTATTAGAAGTAGTATTTTTTGATTTTGGTATTTATTTTTTCGAAAAAATATTATTATTGTGTAAGTTCGCTCGTTACGTCTTTTTTAATTTTTTTTTTTTAGTGCGTTTTTTTTCTGGTTTTTATTAATTTTTACTACCGCATACACATTACATATCAGTATCTGCCGTAGCCGTCGTCAAAAGTGTATTCCTAAAATATATCACACCGTCCCGGCGAAACGATTTAACATTATGAATCTGTTGCGGTGGTGTACGTGCCGCCGGCCCGCACTTTACGCACCTTACCGGCGCGGCTGACAGTGACACTTGTGGATACCACACTCGCTGACTTAACGGCTGATTTTCATTGCTGATTTTTTTTTTTGGAATTTGTTTCGTCTTCGTCGCGGAAAACATATTTGTGTCGCCACATCAACTCTGCCCGTGACCCAGCCGCCGCCACCAAGTCAAAATGCCGAAGATATTCCTCATCAAAAATCGGTTGCACCAGCAGCAACAGAAACTGCTGGAAAACCAAAAGGGAAACGCGCACGTTTCCTCCGACCCGCTGGTACAGTCGCTGCAAAATTATCACAACGATCATCACCATGACCGGCTACCGTCACCTCCTCCGCCGTTCATAAAGCACCACTATCAGCACCATCACCAACCTGCTCCGCCACCACCGCCTCCTGCACCAATAAGGCAGCATCTGCCGCCTCCACCACCGCCACCGCCGCCGCCAAAGCAGCAGCCGCAGTCCAAAGTCGTCCAAGAGTCACCGGTGCCGAAAACCCCACAAGGTAAGGCCCAGTCTGACATTTATTATCATCGTCATATCATAATATAAAATGTTCGTATATACACAAAATAATAGTGTCTATTGTCGCGATAACAAAATATAATTTTTAATAATATATTAAACTGCAGTACGCATTGTGTTAGGTGGTATATATAACGTGATGTACCCATGGGGTGCGTAACACCAGAACAGATAACCTAGAATCCGATATTTTCGATAAAATCATTTTTTTCTATAATATAACTAGTTATGCAATTAATTATCAAATCAATCATTTTCCAAAACAAATTATATTGTCCAGCGGACTGTTACAAGGGCCAATTTATTATTGGTTTTAAAATATAAATTCTACTGTTCTACTCTTAGGTAAATTATAAAATGTTAAATGAAACCACATTTTAAGCTGTTCTGCCTCTATACGCGCCTCATATATTATATCCGTATGTTAAGTATTTAGCGCAATATAATATTGTGATCTGTGTAACGGTAAAATATTTTTTCTCCGAACGCATTATTATTTTTTATAGGATTTTTTATAAGACTTTTTTCCTTTTTTTATGCTATGATATTATATACCACCCGCACATGAGATATTCGTGTCCAAGCTCGCACGCTCTAGGAACCATATAGTAATCGATCAGACTTAGACGTGGCGGTTGCTTGTGGCACCACGTATATTATTATATACTTGGAACGCAAAGGTTATTATACAACGTACTTCTATAGATATACTGTATACCGTGATCATAATATTTAACACACTAATAAATTGACTCGCGGCTGGTGCGCATGACCAGCCACTGCCTGTAGGGAAACTTAAACGCCCGATACGGGATTTCACATTTTGTAATATATGCAGTTATTCAAATTTCATTGTGATAATAATATGTAAGTTAGAGCCATACTCGAACATGGCTAATATTCAATTACGATGATTATTTCTACTCATTTATCGATGTATGATATTTTTTTTGTTATATCCGGACTTATAAAATAATTGCGAATTCGTTGAACGAAAATGTAAGCGCACTACGTTATAAGGCAATAATAATTCTTTCCAATTATCCAGTCATTATTTCTTTAAATAGTATTCTTAAGCGTTATTATAGTTTATACTTGTTTTTTTTTTGCTAAAAATGTTATTTCTTTCGAACATTAAAAAATATCTCTAATTTCGTTAATTCATTATAGTAATTGATTTACTTTTTGTGTCCTCTTATCGCATTCTTAGCTCCTAATCGACTATTGTAAAGGGCATCGTCTAAGACCTGACATCAACAGATAATATCGGTAAAACACATATTATACCTGCAGTATAGGTATTGTAACATTGATTACCTCGGTAAATTTATTTTGAATATTATAATGCATCCGTTGTAGGGTAGGATAGGGAATTATGAGGGGTGTTGAATCACGTCGTATACGGTAGCCTTGAGGCCTATTGTGTGTCTTTGAACCCGAAATCGATAAATCTGTGTTCGACCCCAGTTTTATTCATTACAAGTGGTCTTATACACTTGTTTGTGCATACATACTTATCTATTTATACCCTTTGTTTAGTAGGTGAATAATAGTGGCAGATGATGGTTCTTATAACCTCTGGTCTCCGCAGGCGTTTATAGACAATTTCTGAAGCGTGGACCGTTCCCGCAGCGAGCGATTGCAATGTGAGCCGGTAAAAAAATTTACAAAAAAAAAATATTTGGCAATTCACGTGTAATCCGATTTTGGCCACGCCTTGTACTTATACTCCTTTTATGTACCTGCGTGGTTCCACAATTTGGCAAGGATTTTTTCCCTTCACATTTGTATAGGTAGGTTCACTTATTAAATATAATGATCATCTAACGCCGTTTCAACTTGACGCGACTGGAGGCCAAAAGTCAAAACGTGAAATATAATATATACTTAAGTACATATTATAACCATACTTTTAAATATATTCTATATAAATAAGAAATAACATTTATCAAAACCAATACTTTATTGTATTATATTATTGAATCAATATAGTTATTATAAATTATCTTAATGACTTAAAATATTAATGTATGAATATTTATAATATTATAGCATAAAATTTAAACTTTAAATCGATTTAGGATAAATTGAGTTTGAAATAGTGAACCTCTAGTTTAATATTTCTTTTTAAAGAATTCAGAAACTATCGTGAAAACCATTTCATTACTGCAATGTTAAATCATTTTCGAATATGATGATAACTTAAAAAAAACAAATTTTATATTTATACCGATATATACTCGCTCGACATGGCCTTAGAACTAAAAGATGTAAGATTTAGTATATGCAAATAAACATTATAATTGCCTACTGTTTATGTGAACTGTAAATAAAATGTAAAATTTTAAATATTAGTAAAAGCATTACATATATCTAAGAATCAAACATGTAAATTTAACTTTCAAAAGTGCTAATATAAAATAAAATAAAATAATAGTGCCGTATATGTGTTTATTTCAATCTTGTTACTAGATATAGGCACTACAAAAGAAGACTATTGCCTATAATAAGTCTGAAAACGTATATAGTCTAGAAAAAAATATTTATTTTAAAATAAAAAAAACTGACAGGTACTAATTTTTTTCCATCGTGTTTCCGCCGCCGTTCAGAAATTGCTCATTAATTTAGCCAACACCAACAATATAATATTATACAGGTGTACATCATTATTTTCGGATACTATAAAAGAAAGTATACCGCGAAATCATATTACAAATCGGTAATGCGCATTCGTGTCACAAGATCGCTACCTATAGCATATTGGATGGACGTCTGGAACGGTATTAAAGCAGATGTTATTAAGCAAATGACTTACAATTTCCTTCTATAGATAAAAACCTGTTGTTCGGTCCCTAGATATAAATAATATATAATGTGCTATAGTGTGCCAGAACTTTCTTTGGATATCTTGGCTGTAGAATATACAATTTTTTTTGGCAAAGCCCGTGAAAAAACAATTCAACCCATATAATTTATTTGAACCAACGGGAAAAATCGTCTAAAATAAAAATAAAATCGCATTTCACGCAATTAACATTAATTTACAGTTAACATGTCTCTTATATACATATTTTTCAAGACAAAAATGCGAGAATGTTAATTCGTTCGTTTCCGCATTACAGATATTGACATATTATATGGTGCGTATAATATGCAGTAAACCTATATAATTTATCAATGATAAATATTATATAGTATAGTCGCCTCGAGAATAATTATTATCATCGCATCATCGTCATCGTCATCATCACCATCATTATTCTCGGGCTTGCGTTGTGTTCTGTTTCTCGTCAACGGAAAAACCGGTTATCTCGCATTCCCGTTACCCCTCCGCGGCCAACGCCGTCAATTTGATCGCGGGTCTCGATCACCGCTTTCCGGCACAGCATCTCCTCCGCCACGCCATCGACACTATACGGCACATATGATCCGAATACGACTTTTCGTGGGGCTTTCGGTTTCCGGCGACGGTTCCGGTCCCCGGACCCTGCGGCGACGGGGAGACGGCTAAACGGTACACAGAGAAACGAAAATTACGGCGGAATCAGAATACTGCTACATAGGTATACGTGTATGGTAGAAAAAAAATACAAATACAACTCCCACCGAGAACGCGCGAATTCGCGGCGCGGACGGAAAAATAATGAGAATTAAAAAATAATGTAAAAAAAAACCAAATAAAAAACAAGGTCAATTTCGTTTCGCTTCACGGGTCGTCATTACCGCGCGAGTTCAACGTTCTGGAAGACGCTCGGTTGGTCAGCAAACTGGCACAATGCGTTCCGACAATTTGCCCGGGTACACATGTATATATATATTTATACCTACGATAATTACCGACGTCGCAAAGTCGCGGTGGCGTGTCTTTCGGATTTTTTTCCTCCTCCGTCTTCTTCGTCTTCCTTCTATTTGGTTTTTTCGCTCGTTTTACACGCCTCCGTGATTTTTCCCATGGTTTATACATATATATATATATATATATATCGTGTACCTATACCTCTCTGCGACTGCTATATATACCCACTGTACGCGCAGTCGTCCATTGTTCCGCCGTTTTCTTCTGCTGCGGTTTTTCCGTCCCGCGTGCATCGTGATGTACATTATTTTTTATTCGCACGGAAACCGCTGTTCGGAAACCTCAATAACTATCCGTACGACAGCGAATTATTATTATAATACGCCTACGTGGGTACCACCCCACACCTGTGCCCGAACTCGGTGTTATCGAACTTTGCACCGGGTATGCGGTATACGGACGATTGAGCGCGAAACGTTTTCGAGACCAATCGCTGTCCTATCGGGACCGTAATAATGTAAAATAATTTATGTTCAACTATACGGTAGAACATTATGACATTGTTTTACGAATAATTTTACTGGTTACACGCAAGGTCGCAAAATACAACAGCGTGTGTGCGTGTGTGTGTGTGTGTGTGTGTGTGTGTGTGTGTGTGTGTGTGTGTGTGTGTGAGCGCATACGATTTAGATAACACAAATTGCGTATTGTTTTTTTTCTCTCCTCTTGCAAGAACGTCAACGTCGACTTGATTATATTGTATGGACGAGACGGGTCTGAATAGGTTGAATCGAAATTAAATTTTACGTAACGGTTTGCCAACCACCTTCACATAACTCGCACTGCGCCGAATACGATATTATCACATTGTTGTACGTGTGTTGGATTTGGAGGTTTTGTCTCCGTCGTCGATGTTATAGCCATATATTAAATTATTATTGTTTCATGGTCGCGTAAGGCCTTGCTGCAGGGGATATGTATTGGCGAGGTATGCACACTTCCGGAAACGCTCGGCGCCGACACAAGTTAGCGCAACGGTTTCAAACCTAAAATCGCGGAAAACACCTGCGCTGTATATTTTATAAACACAGTTATGTGCACGGCCATTGATGGGTGTATGTGTATAATATTATAATACTGTATAATATTATATAATATTGTGTTCTTCTCGAACGGTAATAAAT